TTTAGGGGTTCAGAGGTTTAGGGCTTAGCGGTTTAGGGTTATGGGGTTTAGGGTTTGGGGGTTTAGGGTTTAGGGGTTTAGGGTTTAGCGCTGAGGGGGTTTTGGGTTGTGTAAGGGCCCTGGAAGTTCTACACAGTTTTGCAAATGCAGGCTTTTTGTTTTCAAGAGCATGACGCAGGGGTTCGGAAGTATGTTAGTGAGCTGGTTATGCAGTTAGGAGAACACTGTCTCTTCAATAGGCTCTTCTGTCGAAGCGGAAGAGTATATTCTGCAACACCCTTTCTTGCGAAGTCTTACCGAAATCCTTGATGCAGCCCTCAAAACCCCAAACCCGAAGGTTTCATGAAGTTCTGCAATGCTGTGAAACTTCTTAGAGCCTTCTACGTGCACTATGACTTCAACTTCTTGGAAAAACATCAATGCCAAAACCTGAGCCATGACTCCGCCCCAAAACCCTAAACCCTGAAACCCAACACGCCGTCAACATCTGAACAGCTTAGGCTTAGCCCTGAGTGCTTAGATGGTGGAGAGCTCAGCCCTTTGAGGGAAGGCATAGGTTGAGATTTGAATCTTTGTTTGGTCAGTGCTTAGGGTTTTGGGGGGTTTGCCGGGTTTTGGGGCTTGGTGTTTGCGGTTGAGGAGTTTATGAGGTATTCTTCCGTAGCGTTCGCAGGGTGTAATGTGGATTGATTGGGATAGGCTTCTGCTGTGATTTCATTTAAGAAGGCTTCGATTTTTGAAGCGCTTTAGACTGGGCATAGGAACCTAATCCCCTGACAAGGCGCCTGCAACCGAAAGCCTTCGTGTCTTTAACCCCCCCTTGGAAGTTTCAGAAAACCCAAGCTGCAAATGAGGTTTAGGGTTTAGGGTTTTACAATGTTGGATCCTGATCATAGCTAATTTGGTTTTGAAAGCCTCGTTCAAGAGCACACCACAGAACTGAACTCCAAATCTCTATCAACACCCAATATAGATCACGATGATTCATTAGGGTTGCTTGCTATGCATTTTCCGCAACGCAACTGTTACGGCCATTATACTAAGTTGAAAGAAAGCGTGCGAAAGGTCAGAGATTGAAGGCCGACAGCTCAACCCAACCACCGGGTCAAGACTGGCCCTTCTATGTTTCATAGAAGGCTGTATACAGTAGTCTACATGTACAGGGTACTAAATCAGTACTAGGTATGTATTCATACCTGTATCAATGTATACAGTGTGAATATCACAAGTGTACTGTTCAGTGTATGCGTGCGTACATATATATATATATATATGTATATATATATATATATATGCTCACCTCCCCCCCCGTTGACAGACCGCGGCGCGCATACAGTGTGTTCCTGGCAAGCGACCCTGCTGATTAAAACCTGTTCGCCGCCGTT